TGTCTTGGCATGACACTGCTGCCACCAATTCCATTTATATTCAGAATTTTGATGTCATCAGACGTGGTACATCCCAGGAGTCTGAGAAGATGAGGCAGGAGGATTACAAATTTGAGCCCAGCCTGGACAATTTAGTGACTTGGCAAGATCCTATCTCAAAATAAAAAATAAAAAAACCCACGAGGATATAATACTATGAAATTTTTTCATCACTTATTATGGGTTAAAATTTTGTGGTTAATGCCAGTGGAATTAAATCACTGTGGTACTGAGCATAGATGTTCCACCTGAGGAAAACTGCTAGCATAAATAGAGATATGGAGAAGAAGAGCAGGGAGGGCATTGGGGTTTCTCTAAGTGTTACTGTTTGAGCCTTTGGATCTCCTGGAGGAGCTTGGCATAACTACCTTCTGCAGTGTGAGTTCGACCATTGTCATTGGAGGAGCTTGGGACCTTGTTGGCGAGAGCGGCTGTGGTTCACTTTGGGGGAGCTCTGGTCTAAGGAGCTGTGGTCTTAGAGCATCGCTTCCTGGCTCCAGAGGGGAAGATGTGTGCTGTTTAATCTCCAGGACAAACTCGTCATGCTGGCTTTCTGGCATGTACTTGACTGTTCTTATCATCAGAGGAGCTTGGAGCCTCCGTGTCACTGAGAATGCCTGTGGTGAGAATGGTCTTTGTTTTGAGCATGACTTCTCAGCTCCAGTGTAGAACCCTCAACTTACCAGCACAGCTCCTTCACCCCACTGGCATAGATTTTTTCTAACTTTTACCACTGACCTTTGGGCCGTCCCAGCACAAATCTATAAAAGAGACTGGCGTGAGTCCTTCTTGTGGGCTGTAGACCTCCAGCTGGACTCATGGGAGGCATTGTCACGGGCTCTAGGTCTTCATCTAGATCCATGTAGGACATTGCTGTGGGATCCAGGTCCTTGGCTGAATATTACAGGTCTTTAGTGCTGTGGACAGATTTCCTGCACTTTCTTGTGTTAAACTCTGGGTGATCATCATAAATAATATAAATTCTGTCCTAATTATAATTGTTCTCTGCACAACTCCTGACTAGAACACTTGTAATTCTTAAAAACTACTGAATATATGGTAGTTAGGATGCAGTGTCAGCTGGGTTGGTTTGGGGGTTCACCTGGAGGATTGGTGGAGCACACTTCTGGGCATGTCTGATAGGCATGGAGGCGTGGCCTTAGGGTCTGTGCCTGGTCCCTGCACTGTTCCTCTCTGGTGCTGTGTGCCCTGCTGTGCTGCCTTGCCACCATGAGCTCAGCAACATTGCTGGAGCCTCCTGACATGGACTGAATCCCCTGAAAACGTGAGCTGCATTAACCCTTGGCTCCTGTAAGTTGTGGGTATTGGGTCCTGTGTCCCAGCAGTGGGAAAGTTAATACTGAATACTTTTAAAAGCGTGACCACTGAGCATTTTGCCACCCTTTAAATTTTTACCCAAAGCAAGTGCCTTTTTATCTATATCACCTGCCAGCTAAGTGTTGATAGTGTGCTGGACATCACAAAACATTGGTGCAGGGGTCTGCTCTCATGTTTTTTCCTGAGGAGAACCTGGGCTTGTCCAAGTGGCAGGGGGCTTGGCCTGACGTAACACAGCTCTGCCATCCCAGGATGATCAAAGCCAGCTCACTGCTCAGCCACAGCTCTTATATGACGCAGTCGTTATTTTTCAGGACTAAAATATGCACTGACACACACCGTAGCCCCTTAGCATCTTGCTGAGTTGCCTGAGCTGGCCTTGAGCTTAGGCTCGTCCTGCTTCAGCTCCCCAGGTGCCGCACCTGGAGTTACAGGTGTGCCCTCCATACAGCACCAGCCCTCTTGTTTTTTTGGTGCTGAGGATGGAACCCAGGGCCTTCTCACTGAGCCGCTGCCCCAGCCCCTCTGGCGCCAGGTTGTTGCAGCGGCACTCCAACTTGCCATGCTCCCCCTCAGAGTGCTAAGACTAGAGTCACCTGTTGCCACACGTGGCTGTCATTTCTTTTTTGGTCTGTTTTTATAGATGTGTACTTCTAATTTTCCAAATGTTGAATGTTTGAATTTTACTTTAAAATTTGATTTCTTACTTAATTGCATGGTCAAGGTCAGAGAATCCACCTAATATATCAAGTACTATGAGTGATGTCTTCAGTTCTCCCTTTATTTTGGACTCATCTCGTGGGAGCTCTGTCCATTTGCACTTTTATACAGTTTTGAGGCTATGTAGTATTATTAGATGCTTGCAAATTTAGAGTGATAACCAATGAACTGAACTTTAATGTCATATACTTACCCTGTCTCTGTAAAAATGTGCCTCCTCGAGGCAGTTTCTTTTCTAGTCATCCAGCTGCCTCAGCCTTCTCTTCCTTTTTGTGTTTCTGTTAATGTTTGCTTGGTACGTCTGTTAGTGTTTCACTTCGCCTTTCCTGTCATCTTGTGAGGTGTGGTTTTAAAAAGATATTTAGGTTTTGTTTTTCATCTAGTCTACAGTCAGTGATTTGTGACTTTTAATGAGAATTTTCTTCCATTAATATTTTCAGCTATGAAATATTTGGACTTATTTCTTCCATCATGCTTTATTTCTATTACAATTTTTTAGTTTTCGGACCCTTCACACGTTTCTTCCTTTCCTCTCTTTCTCCTCTTAAATTTACAGAGGCTGTTCTGAATTGATTGTCTTTCGTAGAGTTTTGAAAGTGTGCCTCCATTTCTCCCATCCAGGTAGTAACCAGGCCTGACCCTACTTAGCCTCCAAGATCAGATAAGATTGGGTGTGTTTGTATGGCTATAGATAGGTTTGCCTCCATTTCTGTCTTTTAGTGATTGGCCTCCACTTAAAGTATGTGCTGATACATTTGGTACATACTTGAACGTAATTACTGCTCTTCTAGTATCTTGGCCCAAAGAAGGACTGCAGAATCCTTTACACCTGCATCCTGGGCCTTGTGCATCTGTCGGGTAGTTCCTCGCTGTGCTGGAAAACCACCAGGTCGCATGCATGAGATATCACAGTTACTGATTTGACCACCAGTGTTTGCTTCCCTGTACCCACATCCCCTCTGCTTGCTGCTTTTCCTGGTAGCTTACAGCATCCTTCTGAGATCAGTTTGCTGGCTTCCATGTCTGTCCTTTAAATTCATTTCTAAGTTTAGGTTTGTTTGTGGGAAAACCTGAGGTTTTGACAGTATTTTACTTTATCTCGTTTGCTGGAAGTACTTTTGGTGGGCTTATCACTGAATCTGCTGTTACCTTCCCTTCTGCACTGGGAAGGTGCACTTTTCCCACCCTTCTGCCCCACCTGTGTCCCCGAGAGGCTAGCTCTCAAGGCCCCCACCTCCATGTCACTGTCTCTGATTGCACTAAAATCTGCGTTTGGTGCTGACTTGGATTGTACTGTGTGTAGACTTGCATTTTTGTGTTTTTTGAGATCCTTGCAGGAGTCCTGACTATGAGGGGTTTACTTATTTCTCCTTCCTGGAAAAGTCTCGGCCATTATGATTTTGAAATGGTTTTTCCTCCACCATTCTTTCTGCTTTTTCTTCGTGGAGCCCAAACTGGAAATATGTCCATATGTCACTCTAGATTTTCTTGTCCATTTTTCTTTCTTTGCTCTGTTTTCTGTTTAACATTTCTCCTTTTCCCATGTGTTCAATTACCTTGCATTTTAGGTCATTACACTTTTACTTTTTGTAGGTTCTATTGGTTTTTAATTGCCTGGGGATTCATAATGGTAGCCCTAGCTTTTTGATCATGCTTTAATCTTTTAAATGTATTTTCACTTGATAAACATATCTGTTTCTGTTCTGTAGCTACTGCTTCTAGTACCTGAGAGTTTTCGATTTCTGGCTGTGCCAGTGGTTCCTTGTGCTGGCTGTTACTTGTGCAGTCCAGCGCCTCTGTGCATTGTACTGTGGTATGCGTCGTGAACTCACTTCTGTTATTACTGCGCTGATGAGGACTCTGAGCCTGGGTGGGGGATCTTGTCCTGTGTGCCCAGGAGGCTGGGGAGTGCCAGACCTGGGCTGCTTTCTGCTATGGCTCTGGACGTACAGATTCCCAGCACACCAACAGAGTACACTCCTGCCACTCTCTGACGCTGGCTCTTTGCTGCTTGTTTTCAGGGCCTGTAGTCTGGATGCCCATGTTTATCTAAAGCTTTTCTTTCTGGGCCCCTGCTGGAAACCACTATAATGAAAGCTTAAGGGTTGGGAGACCTATTTTGCATTCACCCCCACGTTGTTCTTGGTTAGAGATGTTTCCCATGTTTCCCTCCCTTGTTTGTCAGCTGGTTGGTTATTTTGACTCTTTCGTGAAGTACTTGTCTGCCCTTTTTTGTTGCCCGTTTTTGTTGCGTTGTAGTGTGAGGGGTCTGGGTCTTTAGCACCAGGGTCTCTGTGTGCTGCAGCATTTTCAGAAGCTAAGTCCTGTGATTCTGACTTCCACTGGATTCAGTTTCCATTGTGACTGGGTTCCTTAGACAGTGGGTACAATCCCGAGTTACTAAGGAGACTGCTTTGTTGGCCGTTTAGGGGGTCAGGGGTTGTTATAGTCCATATCTCTCGTGCTGTGGATCAGGTAGCTTTGTGTGACCTGACCTGGCTGCCTGATGTCACACGTCCCGCTCATTGAATAAAAAGGTACCATAGATGTTAAGTAACTGCACTTACCAGCTGAGGAACTCTTGTGTATGTGCAGGCCTGGTGCTAACGAAGGTGAGCAGTTGCTAACATGGTATGTGAAGGTTCGCTGGGGCCCTCTCTGCCTGCATGGCTGCATCATGGCTGTTCTTAAAAGGGGGCACTGTGGTGCCCTTGCTGAAGGTGCCTACTCCCCATAGCCTGCTGTGGATGGAGATTCCTGCACATGGCCTCTGCTCACTGTTCACCCTGTCCTTTTGGGCCTCTGAGGTGGGAGGAAGCATCCAGAAGCCTTCAGGTCCTCTGGAGGAGGAGATGGCAATAGGAAGGACTGGCTCGTCAACAGCATTTCACTTTGCGTTTCAGGTTAATGCTGATGTCCCTGTACAATGTGAGCATCAATTCGAAAGGCTTAAAATACATCAGTGAGAGCCCTGGCTTCATCCCTTTGCTGTGGTGGCTTTTGAGTGGTAAGTGTTGTTATCTGCACACTTTTGGCACAGTTGTGTGCTGTGCCTCTGCAGCATGAGGAGGTGTTAGTGGATTAAGAATCAGGAGCGAGCATCTCAAGATGTTACTTCTGCTGGGCATTGTGGCACCTGGTGGTGGCTGTAATCCTAGCTACTTGGTGGGCTGAGGCAGAAGGATTGCAAGTTTGAGGCCAGCCTGGGAAACTTGGCCAGCCCTTGTCTCAAAATGAAAAGGACTAGGGATGTATCCAAGTGCAGGGGCTCAGAGTTTATCCTTGGCACAAAGCTGGGGTTAGATAGATAGATGTTTCCTGCTAGTTATTTAAAATGATTTCAGACTCTAGAAGATCTTTGGTATGCTAAGTAGTCTTTGATTTTGGTTCCCAGGTATTTAAGTTAGTTATGATTTGCCAGTGAGCTGTATTAGGAAGACGATTACCTCCTAAACCAGTATCAGCCTGCTCATTCCCTGACCCGACAATGCTATATGTAGGAGTCCCGCTGTTGAAGAATTCAGGTGAAATCAGAATGCTGTTTCAGCTGTGATGTTTTATCTCTCTCTCTCTCTCTCTCTCCCCCCCCCCCATGTGTGTGTGTAAATCTTCTTTAGGGCCAAGGGCCTGGCTCAATGGTAGAGCACTTGCCTGAATATGAATGAGGCCCTGGTTTGATCCCAGTAGCATAGATAAAAGTCTTGAAAATAAAAATTTATCTTTATGGCTTCTTTTCCTCTGTCCCTACTACCAGTTAACCTGAAGTTTTGTTCTAGTTTTACTATAATTTTAACACTATATTTAATGGATGTATTTGTACATTTCCTTCAATTTTGTGAAAAAATTTACTTTCCTTGTGTTTTTCATAGTATAGATCTCTTTTTAAGCTTTAATTCCACTTCTGGTGAATGCCTATTTTGTCCTTCAAGTATACATTAAAAATTAACATTGGTGAGTTTTGATACAAATATCTACCCATAAGTCATTAGTAGAGTCAAGGTAATGAGCAAACCCATCACCCCAGAAAGGGCCTCTGTTGCCCTCTGCTTCCTGCCTTCCAGCCACTTAACCTCCTTTCTGTACTGTAGTTTATTTTTAATTTTTAAATAAATGAATCTATATTGTTGGTGTTCTTTGTTGCCTAACTTGTGTCACTCAGTGGAATTATTCTGATAGCACCCATGTGGCTGTGGGTGGCAGACTTCATTACGTATGCTAACACTATTTCACTCTGTGGATGGCGCACAGCTGATGTGCATGCGTTCAGTTGCCGTGGTCGGGTGTTCCAGTTGCCTCTCGCATGAGGCGATCTTCAGTGCTGCCGCCACGAGCATTCTTGTGCAGGTGTCAGTGTGCGTGTGTGCTTTCACTCGTCTGGGGTAAGTACCTAGGAGGGGAGCAACTGGACTGTGTTTGTTGCGTTGCTAGGTGTTAAAGCCAGGGCCTCACATGCTAGGTAAGTGCTCTACCACTGGACTGACCCCTGTATTCTGTTCTGAGAGAGGGGCTCATTAAGCTTCACAGGCGAGGTTCAAGTGTGCATTAAGGTCCTGGCTTGTGTCTTTACCGCACTTGCTCCAGGCGTTCTGTTTGGACCTAAATGTTCCAGGAAGGAAGGAGGGGTGCCTCCTTCGTTCTGATGGTGCTGGCCATCTGGCATGTGCTGCTTTGCCCTCTCTGCCTTTGACAAAGTGTCGTGCTTACCTTTTGCTACTTCAGTGTTGAGTTACTTCTTGGTTTGATGTGCTCACAGTTCTAGTTGTGCTCTGTGTGTAATGAGTCCCTTGTCAGGTGCACGGAAAAACATTTTCTTCTACTTCATGGCTTGTCTTTCATTTTCTTAAGAGTATTTTTTGAAAACTGATTCTGGTCAGGCCTGGTGGCGCATGCCTATAATCCTAGCACTCGGGAGGCTGCAGCAGGAGGGTCACTGTAAGTTCAGAGCCAGCCTGAGCTACACAGTGAGGTCCTGTCTCAAAAAGAAAGAAAAGCAGATCTTGATTTTTGGTGAAGTTTATCACTTCTTGTACAAGTCATGTTTTAGTGTAGAAATTCTTGCTCATATCAATGTCTCAAAGGTCTTCTGATGTGTTTTCTCCTGACAGATTCATAGTTTCTCACTTTACATCTGTGTACACAGTCTGTTTGATTCAACACTGGTGTGCGTTGAGTGGTGTCTTCTGGCTTCTCTGGTATAAGATGTGTGTTCGCCCACACCCCTGATTAGAGACTGCCCTCTCTGTGAGCCGCCTTTGCTCCTGCACTGAGCACCAACTGATGAGACCAGTGGCGGCTAGTTTGGAGGCCTGTTCTCTTCTGCTGATCTAGTTTTATACATTATGCCCGTCCCATATTGTACAGTGAGTCTTGATGGCTTTGTAATCTTAGGTCAAGTAGCATGAGTTCTCCAGACTGGTGATTTTTTTTTTTAAATCAGTTAATTTTTCGGCTATTTTTATGAATTTGAAAATTAACTCTGCACTTTCTACCAAAAACTTTCACATCGAGGTTTTTATTGGGACTGTATTGGATCTACAGTTCAGTTCTGGGAGAGTTGAAATCTTGGCCATATGGACTCTTCTGACCCAAAGACTAGCGGGCACATCCTCGCTTTTTTGGATGTCATGGAGACACAGTGTCTCTGCCAGTCCTCCTGTGCTGTGAGCAGAGGGCAGACTTTGGCTTCTGCCTGTCTTCTCAGGACCGCACGGAGTAAGTGTCATTAGAGGGTAGAGATCCTCTTGTTTATGAGCTTTTCTTGTTTTTTTCTTGCAGTCCTGGGGATTGAGTCGAAGGCCTTCCCACTGAGAGCCAAGATAATGCTTCACCCAGGGCACAGGGCAGGCCTTCTAGTTAGGCAGGCCAGCCACTCCTGTGAGGGCTCTGGCTGCCCTGGCTGAGGCTTCCTCTGCTGTGATGCAGCCCTAGCCTGTGTGGTCCTATAGCCTTGGCTCTTGCAGCATACATGCTGAATGGTACTCGGGCATAGCTGTGGTTGGAAATTCTTTGTCTGAGACTCGAGAAACAGTATGTTGGGCCAGTGATACAGCTCAGCAGCATAAGCAACTGCCTGGCAAGCTCAAGGTCCTGAGTTTGATTCCCAGTACCAAAGAATAAATAAATAAAATAACAATCAGTGTGTTACCTGCATAGTGAAACACGCCTGTAATCCCGCACTCTGGGAGGCTGAGGCAGGAGGATCACCAGTATGAGCCCACCCTGGGCAATTTAGCAAGACGCTGTCTCAAATTTAAAAATTTAAAACTAAATACATAAAATCTTAAGACGCCCTGGGCATGTAGCCAAGTTTTAACCCCTAGTACCTCAAAAAAAAAAAAAAATGTTTTCTGCATCAAACTATAGCAAGTCTCTTGTCAGCTCCCAGACATTCCAGAATTTAAGGGAAGCTGCTAAGGCTCCTGGCTCAGGGCTGACTGTTTTATCAGACAGCTTTTCCTCTCTGGAGTCACCAAGGTGGGAGGGGCAGTGGGGTGTACAGGCACAGGGCGCAGAGCAGGAAGTCAGTGGATGGGAAGACCCAGCTGAGAGCCAGTCATAGCTGTAACTGGCCGCTTTGAGGCCAGGTGAGGGGTTTCCTTTTTGTACATGGGAAGCCCAGACTCACAGAGGCAAAGTTGCTTGCTGTTATTTATCTGTTTTGTTTGGTTTTGGGCAGTGCTGGAGACAGAGCCCAAGGACTCATACACATGCTGGGCAAGCAGTCTGCCCTGCAGCCAGCCTCTGCCTCCACTGCTGGGCTGAGCGCTGACTACCTGGCTCAACCCTGACCTCCCCTCACCCCCCGAAGCCACTCTGTTCTGAGTGATGGGTCACAGCTTCACTTGGCGTTGCAGGGACAGCTGCCCTGGAACAGAAGGCTGGAATCTGTTCAGGGGCCCTGCTGCCCGCGATCCCTCAGCAGCCTGCTGCGAGCTGGTTCCCTGCTCAGGAAAGGAGCACAGGCGAACTTTCGAGCCACGCTATTCAGGAAGAGCTTGTCCTCCTTCACTCAGCTCCAACAGCAGAAAGCAGCTGGAGTGCTCCTGCTGGCCTTGGAGTGAGGGCACTTTGATGTGGCTGGGCTTCCCCTTCTCCTGTGAGTCACACAGCCACTGGGGTTGTTAAATTGTCTGAATGCAACTTTCTGTTTCCAGGGCATCACGGGCCTTCTTATCCATGCAGATAAGACAATGACTTCTTCTTTGAAGATTGAGCGTAGCCCACATCCTGCAGACCCATTGTAAGGTCATCTCACTTGGCATCTCCATGATTATTCATGCTAAAGTCAAATAAATCAAGGCCTCAGGCCCAGGATGTTTGACTGCTAGTTGTGCATCAAATAACTAAATTTGGTCCAAACTTTTGTATGTGTTTTAGAAAGGTGAATCTGTGTTTTGTCATATGATGGGAAGATAGTTTCCTGAGAACTGTGGTGTGCTCCTTGGCGCGGCCTGTTCAGGATCTAATAAGGAATCTGGACCCTGGCTGCTTTTAGGTAGATCGATTTGATGAAATATACTAGACTTGTAAGCATCTCTTTTAATTTTTAGACGATCTGGAACAAAAGATCTTGTCACCCCTCACAATAAATTCCTGCTGTCTGCATCATCCCTGTTAGGAAATTTGACATATTTAAAGAACATAGCTTTAAACTCATTAAACCCAAATTTGAATGACCACTTTCACACTTAGCTGGCCTTTTAGAGTCCTGCTCTTCTCATCTGTAAAGTGGGAAGTCCTGACACTAGGTAACAGTGGGTATCAAGGAGGTGTTAATTTTCCATGTTATTTCCCATCTGAGTCCTGGCTGTAGCAGAAGCTTATTTCCCTTTATCTTGCTCTGCCTGGAAGTTACTTTCTGGTTGTGTCCAGGCCTCTGTGATCCAGTCTTTGGGGCCAGCTGTTCATCACCCCTGACCAGACCTCTCGCTCCTGGTAACCTTTGCTGCATTTTGTTTTCCTTCCTTTATTTGTCCACATGGCTGGCTTTTCCCAGGCTTGGCCCAG